GAGCACCCGCTCAGCACTGTATCCATGTGTGGCAACTGGTGAGCGCACCCGCTCAAGGGCACACGCTCAGCACCGTGTGGCAACTGGTTAGCACACCCGCTCAAGAGCACCCGCTCAGCACCGTGTGGCAACTGGTTAGCACACCCGCTCAAGAGCACGCTCAGCACTGTATCCATGTGTGGCAACCCGCTCAAGAGCACCCGCTCAGCACTGCAAGCCGGTAAGCGCACCCGCTCAAGAGCACCTGCTCAGCGCTGTATCCATGTGTGGACACCCGCCCAGCACTGTATCCATGTGTGGCAACTGGTAAGCACACCCGCTCAGCACACGCGCTCAGCGCAGAGTCGGCCGTCTGATTGGCTTTTTCACCGAGCGAAGCATATATGAGGTCAAAGAAAACACAGCGTGGCGCATGGGCTCATGCAGCTCAAATGATCAGGTGTTTTTCTGTCTGGATCTGGTAGCGCATGGCGCTTTGTATGTAAGATCAAATTCTCGCCAAGCGTTTGTCCCGGCAAAACGCTGTTTTTTGACGGATCTATAGGTTGATCCGTCGTGGAGTTGAGAGGCTCTCGTGGTCAGTGCGATGCTTGTTTGCGCAGTAAAAACAACTGTTTTCTGACGCTCCGCAACACGCTGTTGTTGGCTGCGCGCGTTTACGCGCTGTTGGCGCGTTGTTGTTGCTGCTGCTGCTGGTGCTGGTGCTGCTGCTGCTGCTGCTGCTGCTGCTGCTGCTGCTGCTGCTGTGTGTTGTGTTGTTGTTGTGTTGCTGTTGCTGTTGCTGTTGCTGTTGCTGTTGCTGTTGCTGTTGCTGTTGCTGTTGCTGTTGCTGTTGCTGTTGCTGTTGTTGTTGTTGTTGTTGTTGTTGTTGTTGTTGTTGTTGTTGTTGTTGTTGTTGTTGTTGTTGTTGTTGTTGTTGTTGTTGTTGTTGTTGTTGTTGTTGGTTGTTGTTGTTGTTGTTGTTGTTGTTGTTGTTGTTGTTGTTGTTGTTGTTGTTGTTGTTGTTGTTGTTGTTGTTGTTGTTGTTGTTGTTGTTGTTGTTGTTGTTGTTGTTGTTGTTGTTGTTGTTGGTTGTTGTTGTTGTTGTTGTTTGTTGTTGTTGTTGTTGTTGTTGTTGTTGTTGTTGTTGTTGTTGTTGTTGTTGTTGTTGTTGTTGTTGTTGTTGTTGTTGTTGTTGTTGTTGTTGTTGTTGTTGTTGTTGTTGTTGTTGTTGTTGTTGTTGTTGTTGTTGTTGTTGTTGTTGTTGTTGTTGTTGTTGTTGTTGTTGTTGTTGTTGTTGTTGTTGTGTTGTTGTTGTTGTTGTTGTTGTTGTTGTTGTTGATGTTGATGTTGTTGTTGTTGTTGTTGTTGTTGTTGTTGTTGTTGTTGTTGTTGTTGTTGTTGTTGTTGTTGTTGTTGTTGTTGTTGTCGTCGTTGTGGTCGTCGTCGTGGTCGTCGTCGTGGTCGTCGTCGTGGTCGTCGTCGTGGTTAGTTGGTTGGTTGGTTGGTTGGTTGGTTGGTTGGTTGGTTGGTTGGTTGGTTGGTTGGTTGGTTGGTGGGTGGGTGGGTGGGTGGGTGGGGTGGGTGGGTGGGTGGGTGGGTGGGTGGGTGGGTGGGTGGGTGGGTTGGTTGGTTGTGTGTTTGTGTTTGTTTAATTGTTTGTTTGCTTGTTTGTTTGTTTGTTTGTTTTTGTTGTTGTTGTTGTTGTTGTGGTGATCCTCGTCGTTGTCGTTGTCGTCGTCGTTGTTGTCGTGGTAGTCGTCGTCGTTGTTGTTGCTGTTGCTGACGCACTGAAAACACGCATGGTTTACGAGGCTGAACGCTGGAAAACACAGCTTTGTGTGGCGCCCGGCCCCGCCTTCCGATGAAGCAGAGCCGAAGCAGAAATGACAGAAGCCTGCATGGCCCAGGGCTGCAGCCAGACCCTATGCTTCGCATGTTCCCGCAGCGCTGCTCGCAAAAGCGGTTCTCTGCGCGCGCGCAGAGCAGCGCTTTCGCGGAAGTGCTTCTGGCGATGCGTTTTTTGCAGCGGGTTTGCTTTCAAAGGCCTCTTAGCAAGAGCTAGTGGATATGGAGCTCGTTGTCGCGGTGCTGCCGTGGCCGCTTCCGCGCCAGCAACGTGAATACCTGAAGGCAGGCCTTCGGCCCTTCAGCCGTCCCGAATAGAAAGCACACATATGAATGGACTGGAATTATCCCAGCCTTTCCAACCCTATAACATCAACACACAATGATAAGTATTGAAGTACAGATATGAACGTAATACGCATATATGCAGAATAAGGAATATACTAGCATGTGAACATGTCTGTAGCTTATCTTAAAAAATACAACACGAAACATATGCGACATACCAATTCTTACTTCCTTAACATGTTGTCGTTTTCCAGTCACTTTGTCTGATATACTACAAGGAAAGATGTCAAGCTAAAGATGGGTCAGCTAGGTAGGCACACCAGCTGGAACGACATGTAAAATCAGATGACAGGTTAGCAGACATCAAATTATAGATTCATCTCTTGGCTTTTAACTGGATGAGATGAAAGTGGGTGGACTCTCAGGTTTTGTCCTGGATGCCAGCAGGCACCGATGATGACAATGATGATGATGATGATGATGATGATGATGATGATGATGATGATGATGCTCATGATGATGAAGACGATGATTGATGATGATGAGGATGCTGCTGCAAATGATGATGATGGGTGCTGCTGATGATGGTGATGATGAAGAACAAGAAGATGATGCTGACTGGATGATGATGGATGATGGTATTGGATGATGATGAAGATGATGATGATGATGCAGACGGTGATGAGGACTATCATCATAGCATCCCCTGCATCCCCAGCGATGTCTACCGTCACGATTGAAACGTATGTAGCTGGAGAAGACATATTCACGTCATCACAACTATCATCGTGGAACCCTCTGCATCCCCAGCTGCCTGGATAACTATCATTGTAGCCCTTGCATTGCAAGTGGGGCCTATCGCACCTTTTGATGTCAACATATAAGAATGGCCCGCAGAATAAGGGTGATGATCATGATGATGATGATGATGATCATGATGATGAAGCTGGTGAGGATGATGATGATGATGATGATGATGATGATGATGATGATGATGATGATGATGATGATGATGATGATTAATATGATGATGATTAATATGATGATGATTGATATGATGATGATGACGGGTGATTCTGGGTGATGATGCATGATGATGATGATAATGATCATGATGATGAGGATGGTGGTGGTGATGAGGATGGTGGTGGTGATGATGATGATGGTGGTGATGATGATGACGATGACGATGACGAAAATGATGATGTTGATGATGATGTCGATGATATCATTCGGACCCCAGCTGACATGTGTTTGTTAAGCAAGCTGAGGACCACGATGATGACGAGGATGACGTAAAGTCCATGACCATGATGACGATGATCACCCTGATAAGGATGATGATGAATGGCCATGATGGTGATGGACGACCATCATGATGGTGATGATGATGATGACGCCCTTCCCATGCGCCTCGCCCTTGCAGAGAAGGTGCCCACTCCGTGCTACGCGTGCATAAAGTCAAACCCTTTTTTCAAAGACTTTGCTGGTGTGTAAAAGCAAAATCAAATTTGGAGGGTTACCAAGAACCCCTCCCCACAAACAAAAATGGCTTGTCACTCTGCGTGAAGGGCCTTGAATTGCGACACATCGCCAATGAAGGTTCCTTTCTTGGGGAACCCTCAGTTGCGCCCAGAATCATGTTTGCCAAGGGGGGGCACAGGTAGGCGCCTGTGACACAGTGAATACATTAAAAAGGATCCTGCAACGAAACGCCATTATTTCTTTCTTGATGGCATTGGTGGACTCGCTGAGTCCGTTGAGAATTGCACTGCCTCCCATTGCCCCAATTGCGGCTGAGTTCGACGATGCCATTCGTACCATTGCCCACCACTTTCGCTTTCGTAGGAGTGGGAACGGCGTGGGCTTGCATACCTTGTTGTTGTGGCCTTATACACGGTTGCGCCGCTGAAAATTGGGCAACCGTTCCACCCGACTTGAGGGGTGGTCAGTAGATGGTTAGCTGAGTTGATGGGTGGCACTTACTTGCTGCGGTGCGACAGCCGGGTGGGCATTTGACTGAGATGATGGTTGATGCTTTGATGATGGTGGTGATGAGGATGATGAGAAGGTGATGGTGGTGGTTATTGTGATCGTGGTGATGGTGATAGTGATCGTGTGATGATGATATTGATGACGATGATGATGACGATGAGGATGGTGGTGGTGATGATGATGGCGATGACGATGATGATTATGATGGCGATGGCGATGGCGATGGCGATGGCGATGATGATGGCGATGATGATGATGATGATGATGATGATGATGATGATGATGATGATGATGATGATGATGATGGTGGTGATGATGATGATGATGATGATGAGGATGGTGGTGGTGATGAGGATGGTGGTGGTGATGAGGATGGTGGTGGTGATGATGATGATGATGGTGGTGATGATGATGATGACGATGACGATGACGACAACGACGACGACGACGACGAGGATGATGATGATGATGATGATGATGATGATGATGATGATGATGATGATGATGATGATGATGACATCACTATGATGTTATGATGGTAGCAATCACCACCATTATCATCACCATCATGAACGTCATCGTGTTTGAAGAACAAACCGTTGTGTTAGGCGGCATCAGCTAGTGTGAGAATGACTGGTTCCCAGGAGATGAGTACGGCGCTTGGCCCAGTTGCACCATCTTTCCCCTTCGGTGGGTTTCCCCTTTGAAAACGATGAAGCAAGGGCAAGGTACGGGTTTGGCTTGTTGGGGTGTTGGAATGTTCAAGCCCCTTCGTGAAACCTGTGTTTTGAGGAAGTTTGGCCGCTTCACGGGGCTCCTCTTCCCAAACTCAAGTAAGCGAGGGGCTTTGGGGTCTCTCGGGGTGCGTTCGCCGGCGCCTTCCGTCAAAGGCCGGCAATTGGTTGACTCGGTGTCGCCGGGCCACCCAGGGCCCGCAGCACTGTGTAGGGGGCGTGGGATCTCCTCCCTATAAATCAACCATAGAAGCTCCTATTTTTACCATGCGACCACGATCTAGCACCTGAGCTAGCTGCTTTGTTACTTAGGATTCAAGGCGAAAGGAGCTTTACAAGTCAATTGTAGCACATAGGGCTTAAGTTTCACTTGCGAGACTGGGTTGCCAACAAAAGAATGGGTGTGTATATATATATATATGTATATGTATATATATATATATACATATCCCAATCAATGGGGTGCTCATTCTTGTTGGGTCATCAATCCGGGACCGGCGCCTTCCTGTAATTTTTGTTTGTGGGCACGTATTTGAACAGGGGTAATATTGTACGTGGACCATATGTTAAGCATAGTTTTACTATGAGGTTTATTGCAGCAGTAAAATCAATTATTCTATGCATGAATTTGGAGAGACCATTACTTCTGTCTCAGATGGAGCCCGGTGCCAGACAAAGTTGGATGCGCAAATGGTTGAATGACCGTCTGCGGCAAGGATGCGTAGGTGAGGTTTTTTGCTCAAGCTGGTGGAGTTGCCTCGGCTCCAATGCCTCAGAAGGGATCACTGGACGATTTGTCGTCTACTCCCCCAACTCCCAAGAAAGAAGTCTTTCAAAAGAAGAGTCCTCTACTAGGAGTGCATTGCGGAGGAGAGTCGGGTCCTTCAATCAACATAGGAGTACGGTTGATTCCCAAATGTTGTAATTAAACCAGCCGAAAAACCATCACAGGGACTTCCTTGATCCCTCCTTGCAATTTAGGGGCTGTGCTGGGCGGAAAAGCGCTTTGGCGCCAGGTGCAAGCAAATGCTTGGGTGTTGCTTTTGCCAATCAACGGGGGCTGTCTCAAAACGGAGCCGCAAACAAGGCTTTGGCTTGCCTTGGGTTTCCCGTTCCAACAGGCTGGAGAATGGGATTGGGGGGGTCCCATATTTTCCAACGGGTTATTGGGTGCCGCGGGGAATCATTGAAACACCCACCAAGAAAGAAGGGTCGGGTGTCATCATGGGGCATCATGAAAACTCGAAAACTGGGGGGTTAGGGGGGGGGGGGTGGCGGGGGAGTCTGCCTGGCGCTTCCCAGGCCCGGGGCAGCAACTGCCGAGATGTTGCCGGAGACGGCGCTGAGGAACTTCAGCCATCTTGAGGTGTACTCCAGGCCGCGCCGATCGATTTGGGTCTTTCAGGGTAAGCCCTGTTTTGGGGTCTGAAGGGAGAAGGAAGGGAAAGCGCAATTTTGACCGTCCCCTATGTCTAACACACTGTGAAGACACACATTTTGCAGAGCTGAGTCACAGGTCTGTGGATGCACAAAAAACATCACAGTCAACCCAAAAAAGAGGTGCCAGCAGGTTGAAGGGTAGGAACTAAGAAAGGCCTGTCAAAGTGGCAAAGTCATTGGGAGTGAAGCCGTATGCCTTTTCCAAGTGGTTTCATTTGTTTGGCAAACTTGTTCCGGTGCTGGGTTTTGGAAGTTCAATTTCAAGGGCGCACTGTTTGGTTCCTCCATGACTTTGGGGACCATTCACAGGTTTCAAGGAGACTGTTGCGTAAATTGCTGATCCACAAAAGGGGGCGGGGGTGAGGATCAATTCAAAGGAAAAGCCCTTGGGTATTTGGAGAAGGGAATCTCAACATCTACGACTATTTGTATAGTGTCGCGGGAAATCGATTTGGTAAAGAAACAAACAACCCTCTCCAAGGCACCTCCCCAAGGGACTCATCCCCGCAATCCCCCTTGCAAGACCTCACCTGAGGGCCTTGCGGTTCCATGTGGGCCCGGGATCCCTTTGAACATTTTGGTCAGGTCCAGCCTCTTCGAGCAGAGCACTGCAGCAGCGCTGGAGATCCAGGAGCCCCCGCGCACATGTGGCAGAGTTGCTCCAGCGAGGTTTGGCAAATTTTCTGCATAGAGCTTGCGCTCGCCAAGGCTTTGCGCAAAGGTGCCCGACACATTTCTCCAGACATTCAAGGCTTTCTTTTTGTTGCTCCGGCCACTGAGCTTCGCAGTACGTGCCCACAGGTTCTCTCAAACACGGAACCTCCCAATGCGTATAGTGCAGGTTTTTGAAGCGTAGAGAAAAAAAACAAACATTTGTTTTGCAGCAAAGGCAAGAACGCACTGCAGAAATGCCGGTTTTGCGACTACTGTGCTTTTGAGCCCAACGACCCTATTCGAGACGCAAGACATCCCCTACAGAACATTCGGCTGGTCTGGCAGCCAAACCTCATTTGGTCCAGGATGACCTCACTCGTGGTGCCAGTTGTGCCAAGGTGGGCGGCGTCTCAGGATCCTTCTTCTGTAAATACAAAATTAGGATTGGCATCCTTTGGCTTCTTGATGAATCGTGCCAGGGCTCCGTACAGGAGATCAACCTTGGGTCGTAACTTCAGATTGTACAGGAACACTCCTTTGGCCGGTAGAAACTTGGTTTACTTGCCTGGCCCCGTTCAGCTGCCGTTTTCCACTTGTGCCAGGGGTGGGGAGGGGCAGCACTGTTGTTCTTCCTTTGGAGGGCTGTACTTGCTCAACAGGGTAACCTAAAAAGATGAGCTACAAAAAGAAAGGTACCTTGCTCAATGCTGGTTCCCTATGGTTGCACTTTCTCTGGTAGGTTGTCTTTTTGGTCTACCTCCAGTTTTGCAGTTTGATGCCTGCAAGCCTCTCTGCGCTGACGATTCGTGACCTTATCAGCGTGCCACTGTCCGTGATGCGCGATGCCAAAGGCCATGAAGTTTAGGCATCCCTCAGAGGCCGCTCACAAGCGCTTAAATGTTGACCCAGGGTTACTTGATGCGATGAAGGATCTGACGTGGGGACACCCTGCTACCGCCCCCCCACCCCACCCCCCCCCACCCCACCCCCCCCACCCCATTTCCCTGCAGAGGATCCTCGGGATCCAATGGGTAGGTGGTTTCCGAAGCGAAAGATGGTGAAACGAAACACCATGTACATACCGCAGTTGTTGTTTGTTGTCAAGAAACACATGCAAACGAAAGTCGGAATTCAGAAAGCACCCACTTTTGTTTGGTGGTGTCCCCTTTCGCAGTAGCTCCTTTTTTAGGAGGTTCTACATGGACACCCAAAGCCTCCTATTTCTTGATCATAGGATCCGCATCGTTCCTTGGCAGAAAATGGGAATCGCAGGACACGAACGCGAGTGCCTCTGCCCTGGAGTTCGTAGATCAGGAGTGAGAGATGCAAGGATCGTTCTTTGCAAATGGAATCGGACCGAGCCATTTGGAATTGCGCTGATTGCCAATGGGTCCAGCGAAAGGGAGACATGCTCATCCAGCCCCCCACTCCACCTTGGACCCACGATATAGAAAGGTTTGATTTGTTTAAAGGACAATTGGAGGGTGCATAATTTGTATGGACCAGAGAGTTCTCTTCGCGACTTCCCTTGTGCAAAAAGGTTTGGGTAGAATCCTCTTTAGAAGCCTTTGGAGAAGCCGGGTGAGCAGCAGACATTATTAATGACGTGCTACTTGAATGGGTTGTGGCTTCCTTGGTATGCGGATGGACTGTCAAAAACGGCTTTTGAAGCGAACGGCTGTTGGCCAACCCGCCCCGGGGTAACGCGACAGGACTTGGACGCCCTTGAGGTCGGAGGGAATCTCAGCTGGGGCCCAAGTGACACCAATCCCTGCGAACGGGCCCCCCAATCGGAACTCAGAGCGCCTATTGCTTAACTCCAATAAGGCTATTGAGGTCCTTCATGGGCCCTTGCTGGGAGTTTCTACTGTGGGGCCGTTGACAATCCCAGGACCAACCCTTTCTGGCCAAGGAACAGGGAGGACAAGCTGATGAGATCATGTATGAATCATGGAAGACTGTTGAAGACCCCCAGCCACCAACTGGTGAAACGGTATGAATTGGCCATGGAATTGACCTGCCCAGATAGCCAGGTGCTTTTTAGACACTTTTCCCAAAAAACGGTCACAATTACTGTGCGTCCTGTTGGCGTCATACACAATAGGAGCTTTCTTGGTTTGCCTGGGAATTATGCCAACCAAACCAGGCGTCTTCTTTTAGCATGGCCGCTGGGCAATTCCATCCGGGTGCCAGCCATGTCCATCAAGGTACCTTTCACTGGGTGTGATCGCAGCTGGTCGCGCCATTGGCAATTTTCTCGGAACATGTCGTCCGTTTAGGGTGCAAAAAGATCTGAGAGGTGTGAGCTGAGGCTTGAGACGAATCTCCAAACTCCGGGTCCAGTGGTCCTTTCGGAAACCATCGCCTTCCTCTTCACGTGCGATGTCCACACGCCTACAAGAAAGGAACAGTTCAACGCAAAACTGCACAGGAGGCTCGGGTTTCCCGCAATGCACACTCGTCTCTTCGGCCAAAGGGTTCCACTTGCGCTTTGTCTCATAGATTCCGTGGTGCAGCCTTGGTTGAGACGTAGCTGCAAGCATGAACATCCACCGGGTCGATGATTTTGTTATGTTGCCCCCAAAGTGATCCGGATTATCAACCAGTATTGAGGGGTCTTACTTTAGACATCACCTTTCGGGAAGGGCAATTTCAAGTGAGCGAGCTCCTTTTGGTGGTGATGTTTGTAGGGTGATCATCAGGCAACTAGTGCGAAATCTCCCACGATATTTATGGGAGTTAGTTAATTTTCAGGACAGTGAAGAAATTGCAGTGCCGATTTTGGTTTCCAGGCTGGCTCCCGCCAGTCGATGCTTCCCAGCTGGCAGGCGGGTGGTTGGGTGGGCAGATGCCCAGCAAAGTAGACCGGTGCTTAGGTTTTTGGTATGTGTACTGCCTCCTTGTTCACTCGGGGCTCACATCGTAGCTTAAACAAATGGGTGTTTGGACTAGGGGGTAGTAGAAAAGCAACACTACTTGTCTACTGTTTGGCCTTCAGAGGTGGGTGGGAAACAACTAAGTCCAAATGAAAGTCTAGCAACCGCATGCTGTCAACCCGCCCAACCGCACCCTGCTGGATGCCGGATGTCAGCCCTTTGCTCGCCTAAATCAACCCCAAACCACTCCAAGACCCACCCTCATGAAGATCTAAGCCAGCCTAACCCCCCCCCCCAAACTTCAACCAGCCCCAAGCAACTCCCAACAACTGCCTCCCAATCAGAGCCAACAGGCGACTCTAGGTCCAAGTGAGGCTTGTGAGGCTGGGGATGTTGCCAGCCCTGTGGAAAATCAGTCCTAGGGAAACAACACCTCTACCGTGAATTTTTACACCACCTTCGACTCACTATTTGTTTCTGCGGATTTTCTTTGGGGGGTTGGGGTCATGTATTCTGAGAGGATGTTCGAAGTCAGCAAACAATGCAGGTTGGCCGAGCCCAAGTGAAGCTGCACGTGTAGCTGTCATGCCAAGAGTCCCAAGAGTCCCTGTTTGTTGTTGCCGCATGCGCATTGTGTTGGAGCTGGCATCTCTGATTTCGCTGCACCGTACATGTTGGACCTTCAGTGTGAGGGGCCCGGAGTCCGACCCGACGGATAAGTGTCCCAATTGGGGCCAAGGCCTTTGGTACCTTGGACGCCCGCAGTCGACGTATTTCGCGCAGGTTATTCCGTGTACCTGGCAGGCGGGCCGGGTTAGGACCCCTGACAGAATGAAGTGGCCACGTACGCCAGGCTGGTGAGTAACCTGGGTTACCTCAAGGAAAGTTACTATGGACCAGGGTCACACACCCACGCCACTTGAGGCATCCATTCAGAGTGGGAGGGATGGCCTGTGGGCTGGATGGGGACGAAGACCGGTTGTCTCGCAAACATACCAGAGAGACGGTCCTCTGGGCTCCGTGAATGCTTGAATGTTGTTTTAAGTGAAGCTGGATGATACTTTTTCAATGTGCTTCTTTCTTTGGCTCATTGCCTCACGCAGCCAGGTGGTTTCCGACGAAGTGGCTTGCTACTCAACCAGCCTACAGTTTTCAAGGCTGACTTGTGGAAAAGTGGGCTAAGCATGAGTGCAGGGCGTCCACACTTTACAGCATCCTAAATCAGCACCCTTTGTGGTTGCTTCGTTAAGGCAAACAAAATGGGCAAATTGCATCATGTCGTCACAAACGTGCTTTGTGACCTTGAGAGTTAGTGGCATAGGGACCCCACGTGCTCAATTGGTGCATGTTGATTAAAACTTGGCTTGTGTAATACCCGCCCCCCCCCCCCCCAACAGGAGTACGGTTGTTGCTCAAACAGTCACATCTTTGCAGTAAACATGCAGCAGAATGCACTGTTAACCTTCGGAACATGTTGCTAAACAAATGCACACTGTTGGAGACCGAACTTCTGACATGCATTCGCAATTTAGGACGTGCCAGCACATCCTGGATTGATTTGAAGAATCCAGAAGGCAGACAAGGAGTGCACTTTCCAAGATCAATTTGTGTGATGTTCACTGCCGGCATTTTGCCAGGGGGACAACATGTTTTTGAACGCTTCACAGTTTTGTTTGGGTCCATTTCCAAAAATCAAGTTTGGGAGATCTTCAATCTTCAATGCAGGTGGGGAAACCTTCAACAAGTGTAGAAAAAGCTGTCAAGCTTTTAGCCTTTGGGGATGCAGGATTGAGCATGTTCAAAATATTTACGGCGGACACTTGAATTGTCGATCTTCGATCCAGGCAACACGGCCAAACCACCACTGCATTTTACAGCATTTTCGCCAGATTTATGCTTGACCATGTTCTAGAAAGCCCTTTGCTGTAAATGGCTTGGCTCAGTTCTTGTTTGGTTAAAACCGCATGGAGGTGCATACGGACAATAACCCTTATTCCAGTGGCTATGACAATATTTGTGTTCACAGGTTGTTGCTTTTTGAAATGCAAACAAATCTGCAAACAGTTAAAGTTGAGCTTGGTTTGAACTCGAAAGTAATATAATTTGGATATCCTTCCTTCTGTTGATTTGCAACAGTTGTTCTTGACAATGATGGAATCGAATTAGACACGCAACGCGCAACTGGAACAGTTTTTTTTGGATTTAAACAGATTCGAATTTATAGGGAAGTACGCACATAAAATTGAAATAACATGCACATGCCACCGCAAGGACATCAAGCAGTTTCATTTTTGATTTGATGTCAGTTGCAAGTAGGAACGAGTTTCTTTCCCTCAAGTTGATGATTTAGCTAAATTCCCTGCCAAACGAACAGAGCACAACGAAATGGCAAAGCTGCTACAGGCACGTTGAAGCTGCCAAAACATGCGTCCGGTACTGGTTTTGTGCTGAAAGTTGCGCTTTTTGAGCTGCAGCTGCCAAAGTGCACTGCGCGCACGCCAATGTGGCTTTCAAGCTGCCAGGAACTCCTTTCCAACGTGGATCTTAACTTCTGCTTGGTTGGCATGTACATGGAGTTGCGCATCCCGCAGTGTATCAAGGAATTTGCCACCCCCAGTTTGGCCAGAAATCTGAGTACTTCAAGGGGGGGCGGTATATATGCATACATAATAAACAAATAAATAAATGTATATGTATCTCTATATATATATATACATATATATATATATATACAGATATGCACATTTGCACATACTGACGCACATGTGTATGGGTGCAGGGGGCGGGGTGAATGTCACCCATCCTTCGCGCGACGATTTCTTTTCGCGGGCCGAAGCTCGAAGGCAGGAGTTGTTTCATGCTCCGGGGCCCGAAGAACACGTGGGCTGGCTTGGGCTGAGCTGAACCTCATTTGGCCTTGTTTGGTTTGGCGCAGGTTGGGCGAGCTGTGATTCTTATCGTCCTGAGTTGCCGGTAATCAGGATGAGCTGGAAAATCTGTGATTTTTCACTCGTCTTGATTTGCCAAGAAAACAATGCGGGTTGGACCTGGCTCTGCCTTAGTTGTTCAGGTCGCCTGTACGTTTGTTGGGTTCCCCACAATAGTCCACTGGGAAACTGACTAAAGGCAGGTTGTCTCGCCCTTCGTTCCCTCCAGCCAGTTCTCACGACATGTTGGCCTCTGTAGTATGATGTCAGTTGACCAGTCACTTGCCTTGGAAGGCCAGATTTTCCAGCGAATTGCCAAGAAGCAGCAGAGCAGCGGTTTGGCTTAGGTGCACCCTGCAACTAGCAAGGTTGAACAGGAGCATCGGGGTCGTGTTGAACTGCTGAAGTATTTGGCGACCTGCCCGACATGTTGACCCTGGAGGTAGTTCGACTGGCGGACTAACAACAAGAAAGCAGGATTGTAATCAGTCAATCGAAGGGCAGGGCCCCGCAACCCTGTCAGGTACGCACTTGGCGGAGGAGCCGCCAGGCGGGCTCTCGAGTTGGAGGGCCTGTCACTTGAATCCCATTTCTAAGGGGGACCTTACTTGAACGAAGCCAGGGGGGGAGGGGCGGACCTTGTGGAATGAAACAAGGATAGCATGGAATATGCCAACCAACTAAAAGCGGATGTTTGGAGTGTTACGCATCTGCCCCAAACATGTTTGCAAGAGCAATGAACTTTCATGGTGAATTGTAGCGAGACAATGCTTGGGGGACACGAATTGAGGAGTTTTGTTGCTTTTGAAGCTGTCACTCAACGGGATCACAGGAACACCCGAACTTCGAACTTGTTTGGAGCAAACAACATCGATCGTGATTTCGGTAGTTGAAAGCAACCGGGCTTGGGCAAAGATTGCTTAAACAACCAGCCCCTGGCCCCCCTTAAATGGGAATCAAAAGCAGGCCAGGAACCAACAAATGGGGAGGAGTCTTCTGGGCCAGGCGGGAGCGGCGCAGTCATTGTGAGGCTTCCTTAGCAAAGCGGATGCGGGATGTCAAGAGAAGACTCCGGGCAATTCAACGGACCAATCTTGCGGAATCCCTTAAAACAGGGCGTGACATGCGCCTGCACGGGCGGTACAAATCACAATGTCCCCCAAAGCGCCCCCAAACCATAAACGGCTTATGCCAAGCTTTTGGGCAGAACATTTGAATGTCCTTCTCTTGTTCTGCGCGGCCAACTAATCTGGGTCTTTGTTTTTGGGAGGGTGCCGAGGGTCGGGTTGGACGGTAGGTGTGAGTGTTGATGTTTGTGTAGACCAGGCTTTCCTCACTTCCCCAAACATCACCCGGCAAGAATTATATAAGCTCGCTCTGAATTTGTCCAAAGGTAGTAAATAGGGACAGGTTGCGTTTTGTTTGCCTGGGCCTGGCTAAGAGAGGAAGAGCCATTAGTTATACAGGGAGAAAGGGTACACCCAGGAAGTCGGCGGCCAAACCCTTTTTGTGCTTTCCTTTTGCTCTGCCCGATGCGCAGCCACTCTGGATCATTTTTTGTTTCGTGTCAGAAACCACACCGGCGTGGCGCGAGGCAATGTTCTTCAGATTCTCAGCTGAATGCCGAGCCTTTGAACCTTTCGTTTTTTTGGCATGCCAGGAGGCGAACTCAAACCAAACCGAAATGCCCTCGTGCTTTTCTTTGGTGTGAGAACAGCTGAGGGCCTACCAGCCAACCGGGTCCACATATGCACCATCCTTCCTTTCTTTTTTCCTTGCTTTTAACAGGAATGGTCATGGCAGGGTAAATAATTCTTTTTGGCTTGGTAGCACCTCAAGCAAGCCGAAGCTTTTGGGTCCTTGTATTTGACCGGGGGGGCGGGGGAACGACGGGCTGGTTTTGTCCAGCTCATTCCTAACAACACCCCGGCCGCAGACGTCAACCCCTGTGCGCGCGTGTTAATGAAGCCCCCTTTGGAAACAGGTTTCAGCTCTTTTTTCTACCGAAGAGAGTATAGCCGCGAGGGTGCATGCCACCAACCCAAACCTCTGCTGCTAACGAAGTGAGGGCAGTACAAGCAGGGCATTACAGGTGCGGAAAGCCAACGCTGTCCTTGGTGATTCTGCAACACATTTCCCCTGAAACGCATATCACAACGGCTCGGCAATGCGCAAACTCTTTCCCACACGCGAGTGCTTGCGGACGCCTGCGTTCAAAGCTTACGAAGACACCGGCACGTCGCGCAATCACATCCTGACCTGCAGACCGTGAACCCTTTGCTACGCATTCGGGGGTGGTCGCCTTGAATTGTCTTGCTTGGCAGGTGGAGTATTTTCGCGCTTGGCGCAGCTCTGTGTACTTCGGAGCTTGGCGCGCAGATTTCGTGGCAGGCGCACAAATTTTCGGAATTTTCGTGGCAGATTGACAACAGATATGAGGCACAATGAGAAGAAACATGACCAGATTTGTGACGAGTGTCGAAAGACGTGACAGCAGATGTGCCGAGATATGCGGAGGGTTCTACGACGGTTTGTGACTAAGGCGAAGCTTAAGCTCCGCTAAGTTTTGGGGCCTAAAAGGGATCTTCGCTAAACGCCCGCCGCAACTTTGAGGATACTACTTGACCTTCATCGACGAGACCTGTGCTCCAGAGTCCGGAGCGAGGCGCCGAGCACAAAGCGCGCCGCTGGCCCGGACCTTCCGCGACCTTCTGCCGGCGGCTTTCAATGAGGAGGAGGAGACGGACAGCATCCTGCCATCTCAGAACAGATGGGCCTGTGCTTTTGATACTGCTAAAAAGGGAGACCAAAAAGGAAGACAGTCTGGGGGTTTTCCAGAAACACACCCATGTCTCCTTTCTGCGAACATGATTTGTCACGACTCCCCGACTAAAAGGATGTGTTTATTGGGTTGTGGTCAAGGCGCTTGGCTTTACAAGGGTTGGGACGCAGGTTCCTCTATATTTGGGTTCCTGTTTCATGGCGAATTAATTGCAAATTTGCCCAGCTCGCTGGATGCTTTTATGTTAAAGACATTTGTTGAGCATTGTAGCCGTTTGTTGCCACCTATTGTGCAGCGAACCTTCTCAAAAGCGATGAAAAAGTCAGGAGGATTGCACACTGGTATGATAGAGGTGCGGGTTTTCCACACGCTCAGGCTCAGGGGCAGCTGGCACATAGCTGCGGATGAGGGTTGGCAGCCGTTTTCTGTGAAATTAAAAGAGACCTATTCAATGTGACGCAAGACAGCCATGTCGAGCAGCGCGCCCGTGCGGCAGGGGAATAGACATGTTAAAAAACTTGCAACGCGGGTCTCAACGCTTTCAAGCCTCCCTCCTGCCCGAAGATATTTGCCAGAATAGTTCGCTACCAACCTCCAGGCTGGTGTCGATGGAGAGGTGAAGATTCCGATTTCTGTGAAGTCGATCAGCGCGCAGAGAGTCACCGTGTCAGACTTCTTCTTTAGGCGCATCGACGACTGAGACCCGAAGAAGGACTCAGCTTTGAATCGGGCAAGCCTTCAACCTGGACAAGGCCTACGAGTGGCTGAAGTCTGTGTCCCCTATATATCGGGTGCAGCAGCGCCAAAGGACGCAGCGCGGGCATCAACCCAGATGCCTCAACGCTCAACACCTTGATGTGTGGCAAGACAAAGTGACAACGTGTGCCACTAGAACATCCACGTCCTGCAGTGCTTCTCAGCACGTTTGTCCGTCACAGGCGACGCTCACCCTTCTAGGAGCGTGGCTTGTGCAGGGCGCGCCGTAAAGTATGCTAGCTGCTGACCCAGGTTTTGCAGAGTTCACGTAAAGTGGGGATCTTTGATGTCAACCTGAAGTGCGCTCATGAGCTCAGAATCTCGGGAAGGTGGCGAAGCCCAAAACAATCGGATAACTTGAGCTGTCAAAGACGAAGCCCGCGAATTCCTGTTAAGCGCCTGTTGCCAAAACCAAGAAGCTTGAACTGTCTGCTAGCTGCAGACTTGCAGGCAACCAGGTTGCGCAGAGCGTGCAGGCGCCCACCAGCCACCAGCGACGCGGCGCTGGAAGCCTTGCGCGCTGGCGCAGCTGCGCGCCACAAACGGACAAATTCCCGCAGCCGGCTGCTTTGGTCTGGGAATCTGACGGTGGCGGCTGAATGCGTCCAGGAAGAGGCTAGCAGCGGACTTATGCAAGTCGGAAGGCTGTTTGCCGCCGCACGTTGCCAGCGACAACTATGTTGGCGGCGAAGGCGCTGATTCAAGAAGCGCTGGTGTTTAGGGGGGTTGAGCCAAGAGCATGAGCAGGGCCCGAGCCTGTGGGGCCAGGCGGCGCGATGATTTTCAAGGACGCAGCTTTTTTGGCGAGGCGAGTCTGGTTGTCTGGGCAAAGGGAGGGCCACGTGGTTGACCACGAGGGGTCAGGACCAGCTGAAGGCGCTGAAGCTGGTCATGTTGCAGGACAATGCAGCCGCGGGACGCTGCTTGTTGTGGAGGACAAGGCCGCTCAAGATTAGAGCACAACGCTCTGAGCATGGTTTCTGGTAGGAATGAAGGGCACCGTGATCCGGGAGAGGGAGGAGGACCTCATAGAGTGGACTGGCTACAGTATCTTCAAGAAGACGGAAGTGCCGGAGGCCGCGTCCCAGCGACCACTTCGCATCTATCGCCCTGCGTCACATAGATGTCGCTTGACGAACTACTTGCAAACAAGTGTCGTGGACGCGCTTCCCGCCGCGGGCGAGCTCAAGAAAGGACAGATAGATAGCTAGACGGATAGGAAGATAGATAGACAGATAAGTAGATAGACAGGCGATAGTGGCCGGTTCTCCAGATATACATAAGAGACAGTAGACAGACAGGTGAACAGCGAAGCAAGTTCAAGGAATAGACAAACAAACCAAAAAAGTAGGAACATAGAGAGAGAGAGAGAGAGCTAGAGAGATGGCGAGGTAGAGAGAGATAGACAGATAGAGAGATAGATAGCGAGATGCAGAAAGATTTGAGGGATAGAGAGGTTGCAAGATAGAGAGCTAAAGAAATAGAGAGAGAGAGAGAGAGAGGGATAGAGAGATAGAGAAAGCGAAAATGGAGAGAGATGGAGAGAGATGGAGAGAGATGGAGAGAGATGGAGAGAGATGGATAGATAGATAAGTAGATAGATGGATAGATAAGCAGACAGATTGAGAAGACAAGAGAAAGGCAAAGGGAAAGAGCGCAGAAGGCGAAAGAGAACGATGAAGAGAAAAGGAAAGAAAGAAGACAGGAGAAGGAGACAGGGAAAAAATGGAAAAAGGAAAGAGAAGGGAAAGCAAAAGAAGAAATAAAGATAAAAGGAAAGACAGAGAAGAACAAGAGAGAGGAAAAAGGAGAAAAGGAAACAGAAGGGAAAGCAAACGAGGAAGATGAAGAAAGAACAAGAGAAGGAGAAAGAGAAAGGGGCAAGGAAAGAGAAGGGAAGGTAAAAGAGAAAGATAAAGAAGAGAAAGAGACGGACAAAGACAAGAGAAACATATCGACAATGAGAAAGAGAAAGACAGAAGCGCGAGAGAGAGAGAGAGGTGTCAAACTAC